CCCAGGGGTACAACTTACCCACGCCGAGCTGCGTGCCAGCGGCGTAGTTCACGTTCGGCAGGGTATACGGAATGGACTGAATGTATGTACTCTGGCCGTTGTTCTCATAAGCCTCGCCCAATGCTCCGCCATCGGCCTGATCAATCCAAAAGTTCTTAATACCCTTGTCGTAGTAGTTTTTCTTCAGCATGCTCCAGAGGAATTTCCGCGCCGAGGGGTTGGTGGAGTCATAGTTCCGGATGTATGATCCGTTCCAGGAGTCAGTGGTACCAGGGCCGTCGCGTGTGGCTGAGAGCAGACCGTTCGCCTGCAGGGCTGCGTAATTGACACTGTCATCGGCAACACTAGGCCATAGCGACGCCATCATTTCAGCTCCAGTCAGATTCTTGACTGTCGCCGACATCTGCGCGACATTGGGCCACAGGCGCGGATCGAGCGCCCAGTCACCCTGATGAGCCCACGACTGGTAGTCAATAACGATCATGGACACTGGGATGTCTCTATCATGGAAGTTCTGAGCCAGCAGCTCCACTTCCGTTTGGTTCTCATATCGTAGCTTGGACTGGATGTACCCGAGAGAAAAGTCGGGCGGGGTCGGTGCCCGTCCTGTCAAGGCCGAAATCCGCTGCTGCAGAGTGTCGTAATCACCTGGCTGTGCGGCGACGATTACATAGTCGACAAGCGTCGTGGACGCCGCGGTGAACCTGGTGCGCAGGCTGCCAAACTCCATACGCCCCTCGGCCGGCATGTTCCAGATAAAGGCATAGCCTTTGTTGCTCATGAAGACTGGGGTAGGGATGTGGGTGTTGAAGTTGACCAAGTCGATAACGGAACCCTTCTTGTTGATCATATGATCTTGTTGCGTGCCCGTGCCATAAATCTGCTCATCCGGAGTCGCACTGAAGGAGAACTCGGCTGAGAATTCGGCCCCAGGTCCCGGCCAGTAATAGTACCGGGGGTTGAGAGACTTCAGCGGAGCATATTCGTTCGTGAGCAGGGTCTCACTGCCATCATCATTAACGCGGTAGAAGGACAGACGGTATCCGGCCGTGGTGCCACCCCAGCCAGTGGTGCGCAGGATGATATTGCCGTTGCGCAAGGTGCGAGGCTCCGTGCCGGTTGTTGCGGTGTCATAGCTCATGCCATGTGCGGTGTCCTCATAACCTTCGATCGGGGGATCATAGATGAAGCTAATCTCGTTGCCCGAAGGCGGACGGAAGGGCCATGCGCGCACCCGGAAACCGTCGTACCCAAACGGCTGGATGAGGATGGTCTCGAAGCCATGCTGGATACGGAGACCGGTAGAGTTGGGGGCGAAATAGGTTGCTGCTGCTGCCTGAACCAGGGCCCCTAGGGCCAATAAGGAAGAAAAATACATGATTTGGGCCTTCTATGTCGAATTCATGATACGGCCGAAGGAATTGATGCCCGCGTTCCGTCAATGCAGGGGCAAGTGCTCTTCGCTCTTGAGATGTCTTCGATGACGATTTAAATAGGCATCGCCCCGAGATTTAGCCGATTAGGCTAATTGCATTCTACGCAGCTGAACAGGCCATTATTTGAAAGGAATTGGTCGTACGAGGGGGTGCAGTAGTGTTCCAACGGTGGGAGATGCTAACCGGGGATGATGGAATGGGCTGTGGAGATCGAGATGCGGAGAGAAGTCGAGAACGGGAAAACAGGCTCACTAGTGGACGACGATCCACTTGGTCTGGCGACCCTTCCGGCGGAGGGGAGAGAGCCCAATGTTGTCTAGGATGGCCAATGTGACCATCATTGAACAGGGAGGGGGCATGACAGAGGATGATTTGGCTGGGCTCATCACACCATGTTTTCTACACCAGTGCTGGTCCTGTTGGGTTAAGGAAGGGTTATGAACCAACAAGGGATCATGACGGGGAGGGGAAGTCGGCAAGAATGAGAAGAGGTCCACATTGTTGTTCACCCGTGATCGATCCAGGGTCTGTTTGTTTCCCACTGGGAAGGGAAAGCAATGCGCTATTCGATTCCCCTGTCTACTGTCAATCTCGCCAAGCAGAATCATCATTGTCATGGCCCGTCTTCATCGCCGAACTACCTGGCCGTTGGGACCCATGCAGACTATTGGCAAATGGCGATCTACACGCCGCACGGAGCTGACCGAAGCAGTGCCTTACATTATTTCCAGGATACAATTATGGCACCCCACCGGGATTGCTCGCTCCAGAGTGGCGGGGAAATCTCAATCCGCCATGCAGATCTGACGTGTCTTTTACATCGGTCGCATTGATTCCTTGCGGTGCCGGCTCTTCCGACCCCGATGCTCGTTGAGCAGGTCTTAGCGGCCGGTTCTCGCAGAACGGGGATGCAGGCCCATTTTCTCGGTGGTCAATTAATCAATATTGACAATCCATTCATCTCCGGGCCGGGATTTGAATGGTTCAACCTAGGACCGATGCGTCTACCTTGTCCGACGCCAAAGGCTGCTAGTGGCAAGGAGCGAGCTTATATGATCGGACAGGGAATGATCGATCGTTGGCGTACGGTTTTCAAAGGTAAATGGACAGAGTGGTTAACATAATAGAATGACTAGGGTTTATGACTGGGCATGGACAGGCAAGTGCGGTTCACTGGGGGATAAAGTTTACTCCCACCTCGTAGACAGCGGAAGATGCCGACAGCCCCTGTCAACACCACAAGACGACTTCATCCATAACCAGCCAGAGAAAGCCATCCCATGTTGCTAACCCATGCCTTCCATAGGAGGGTAAATTTTGATGTTTATTCTATCTCAAGCATCGCAAGTGTGCAACCTGAACAACTTGAAAGCACACCAGCCCCTCGCCGCGGTGATGGAGGCATATTTCAAACTACCCATGGATTGGTGTATCGCTGACGTCAGAGGTACCTTCCACAAGTTCTAGATATGGCCCAGGAGTTTGGAGAAGCTAATTGTCATACCCCAGCATATATCCCCAGACTCCCTGGATGATCTTTGTGGGGATAGGGGTTAGCCACCCCAGACGGGAAAGCCTTCTCCCCGCAATTCAGAGCAGAAAGATTATCCGGTCCAAGGATGACTCGATGCTTTTCTCTTCACTACCCGAGTATCCCACTCCTCTCTGTCTCTCTCGCAAGCACACCTCTCCATTGCTCTATACAGCCATCATGCCTATCTCCTGGCCACCTACCTCCATCCCAAACGAATTTGGCATTGCCACCCTCTCTCTCGGCAATGCCATTCACCATAAACTCCAACCCCGCCTCGAAGCCGCAGCGAAAGCGGGTTACCGTTGGATCGACCTCTTCGACGAGTGCTGGGCAGCCTACCTCGAGGAACATGGACTTCCCGGTGATCAGCTCTGGGAAGCGACCCCTGACAACTTGCGGATTGCCCGTAAGCTCGGCGACCTAGTCAAGTCACTAGGTATGCGTATCGCATGCACCCAACCTCTACGCTGCATTGAAGGTATCAAAGATCCAGCGGAGCGACGAGCCACGTTGGACCTTGTTGCGAAGCGCTTCCCGTTCATGCGTGCCTTTGACACGGATCTTGTGTTCATGTGTGCGAATATCCGCACCGATACTGGCGTCACCTCCGACCTGAAAACAGTCGCGCGCGATCTCGCAGAATTAGGCGATATGGCCAAGGCATACTCCGATGCAGATGGCGGTCCTATGCTGCGTATCGGCTACGAAGGACTTTCTTGGGCAGTGCGAAATACCTGGGCATCCACTTGGGAAGTCGTGAGAATGGCTAATCGCCCCAACGTGGGTCTAATAATTGATGCATACAACGTGCTGGGTGTGGAATATGCGGATCCGTACAATCCCGCAGGTCATGGCCGCATCTACCCGACTGTGGAGGAATCCACCGATGTGCTGTGTGCATCCTTATCGTCCCTGGTAGCTTCCGTGCCTGGAGACCGCATCTTCTTCTTCCAGGTGGGTGACGCGGAGCGAATGGATCCTAAGAAATTCCTCCCGCCGACAGATCCCAAGATACCTGCCCTGCTACCGTGGTCACGCGGGCATCGGTTGTTCCCCTTTGAATCAGAGCGCGGGGCATATATGCCAGTTCATCTGGTTGCAGCCGCGGTGGTGGCGACTGGATACAAGGGACCAATGTCCCTGGAGGTGTTCAATAATTCGCTGAATGTTCCAGGCGAGCAAGTTGCCCCTGAACATGCGGAGCGGGGGATTACAGGGCTTCGCAAGCTGGCCGAGGCAGTTCCTCGAGTCCCAGCGTATTGGGAAATGTGGCAGCAGGGAATTCGGTCCATGAGGCAGGGTCGTTTATAGTGGTGTAGCTTGACTGTCACTGATACAGACACAATTAGTATATATCAGACTTTAAAATATTTAGCGCCTGAAATTTGATCACACATCCGTTTTCTTCACATAGACCAAGCATTTCTAAATTGCCGACCGATGTTATTAAAGCACTAATCCTCCATACCGACCTGCACCTGCAGGTTATATTTCACGATGACCAGTGCCCACAGCGACAACCACAAAGGATCAGCTTTCAAATGACACCCCCACCTTCAAACCACTCCCTAGTCCTCCGATGACTCGACCCCCTCCTCCTCTGCCTTCTCCTTCTCCTCTTCTTCCCCTCTTCAACATCCTCCCCCCTCCCCTCCCTCTTCCCATGATAATACCCAAGCCTACTAGGATGCCAAAGCAACAACACAAGCATAACCAAAAACATGAACAACCCATCAAACACATACATCCACACTTCCTGCCTCTGTAACACCCCCGTTCTTCCCTGTGCAAACTCCACAACCCTGAACACGCAGCGCGCTATTATCAGCATGTCCACAACATACAGCACTCTCAGCAACTGTCGCCATGGGGGAGAGCGACGACGACGAGGTTGATGATGACGGTGTCTACTGCGCGTCCGCTGTGGCGGGTATGGACGTTTGCTCATCCGCGCATCAAACACCCCCGAAACGAGAATAAATAGCCCAAAGAAGATGATTTGTGCTATTAATCCGCCGATGATTATCCAGTTACTGAGTTTCTGGCGGGATGTGTTTGATTTCGAGGAGGTCGTTGAGTATGATGTTTGGGAGAGGATTCCTCCACCTACATATACGCTCAGTTCATGGTTAGTATACATTGTAGTAAACTGGAAACTTACGCCACACCCCGAAGATAGAAGAGAAGTTTGGAAAACTCACCCGTCGCCTGCCCCAAGATGGCAACCACATCCCCGATAACAAATATCCTCGTTATCCAACGAGCTGGCACGGGTGAGCGCTCCTCCCCCTTTGATACGCGGATAATCCGGGATAGAACCATGTAGATAGATGCTGAGAAGAGAGATGGAGCGAGGAGCAGCAGCAGCTCTTGCATTATGTATGGTGCTGTGGTCCATTGGAGAGGCGGTTGTTGGCTGTTGATTATGCGGGCTGTGTAGCCGGTTGTTTCGACTATATATGTATCAGTAATTAGTGAGTGGGCTGTTACTGCTTGTGGTCCATTGGAAGAGAAGTGAGGAAAGGTAGCATACATATACCCCCTATTATAAACGGAGTGAAGAACCATGTTCGCTGCGCGAAGTAGTGGATCAGATGGCATATCGTGATGAGGCCAAAGCAGGCGGTTGCTGTAATGGCGGCGGCGGTGGAGGGTGTGTATTCGTAGAGGCGGTATTTTGAGGCCATTCTTTGCTTTCATTGTTGGGTGGAATATATGAGAAGAATAGAACATGATGCATGGTGGGTTTCTGGGATTTATTTATTTATGCTAAGTGATATGTGTTGTTTACGAGTAGTTTATCTAGGCTGTAGTGGTGGCTGGATGTTGATGGTGGTTTTTGTTATTGTCGTGGTGTTCGTTTTCGTATCCGTTGCCGGCTTGGGGTGGTGCTTATGCTTATCCGTGATTTGGGTTGTGTTGTATGATTCGCTACGCTTATGAACTACCTCTTGCGCTAGATAGATAGTAGCTGGTTGCTTGCCAGATACTGTTTTAGGGTTCGAATGTAGATGAGTATTTAAGATTCAAAGTTGTCGGGAATATACTATATATACATATATATTGTATATATATTTCTTCTTAGATTCGAAAGTGAGTTTCATCTCCTTTAGTTTATGCTTGTATTGACCACTTGCGCAGAGGAGGGCTTAGGAAGATGGTTGTGATTTTATATCTCCGTCTAGCTGTCTATAATACACATGGAACGTATCCCAATCTTGCACCATATCTTCATACATTACATTGCAGGAGACACATCAACAAACCGGAGCCCGTAGCCCACTGCTGCTACCCTCGACTTTCCCAGCAGCCCGTTAATCTCACTCGGGTGGAACCGGATCAGAATACACAGTACCAGGAACATGGGAACCGCATCGAAGACATAAATGAAAGCTTCGTGGGTGATCACGTATCCCTCCTGTCCCTGGATGTATTCGATGAACCGCACAATGGAGCGAATAAGAATCAAGGAGCTGGACGCGTACAGCGAGAAGAAGTGCTTGCGCCATGGGATCATAGGCGATTCGGAGCGTACGGTAGGGTGTCGGTAGATGCGACGTTGGAAGATGATGGCGACCACGAGGAAGAAGCAGAAGAAGATGATCTGAACGAGAAGTCCGCCGATGATGACATTCTCGCCTGTATTATCGGTCGCGGATTTGGATTGGACCATGATTCCGGCGCCTGTAAAGATCAGTATAGTCCATTGGCGGATGATTGTAGGGAGTTGACGGACCGGACGACTGCATGAGGAAGGACAAACAATCCCCCACCACGAAGATCTTCGTCAGCCATTTGAGTCGGATGATCGAGTGGTGCTCTCCATGCACGAGGGCGATGATCCGGCCGAGGATCATGTAGATGGTGGCAGCAAACAATGCCGGGGCGATGAGAAGAAGGGTGCTCTGAATGATGTAGGGGCCCAGCGTCCAGTTGGGAGATTGGTTTCCGGACATGGCGCGACCGATATAACCGACTGTTTCAACTGCAATTCAATCCCAATGTTAGCTGAAGAGGTCTGGTGCAGGTTTTGGCATTGCACATACACATTCCACCTATCAAGGCTGCAATGGTCAGCCATGCTCGCGTTCGAATAAGCTGGTATGTGAAAATAATGACGCCGATCAGGAAGAGCATGATCATGACCGCGGCGCCTCCCACGGAGGGATAGTAGGCGTATGCCGTCCAACCGGTGGCCATGATGACAAGCAGGTGATGCCCGATCGTAATTGAGAGGTCGTGAAGGAAGTCTGGGATTGGGATTAGACTGGGCCATTTCGATTCTTAAGTGACTGCGACTCCTGAAATTTTCTATGCCTAGAGAGAATTCTTCGATGGCCGTTGTTGACATGGTTGGGACTATGCCTCTCGTATTTCGTACGCTGAACCATGTTCGGTTTAGTGTGTGGAGTTAACCGCTTTCTTCAGTCTGCTGCTTATTATAGTCTTGGTCCTATACGAGCAGATCAGGCAAAGAATCCGAATGCACGGACCAGTGCCATGATAGGCCCACTCATTGAGATGCCAGGCATGGCTTCCCTGTCCTTTCACAGCAGTGGGAGGTGCATTTGACCATATCAGCACCGAAGCGTACGTTAAGGAACGCCTGGACTTGTAGATCGCTCTGAGAACAGCCAGCGTCCGGATTCCTGATCCACCAGATTTTCGAGCTCCGGAGTCCTCTTCCAACAACATACCTCAAAATTTAAGTAGCCCAAAGGTATCTACAGGGCTGCTTGGGCAGCTGCATACTGTGACATAACCTCAGGTGCAGCGAAGCATTTGATCAAATGGGTTTCTTGTATCTTTTCAATTGTCTGTACAGTTGGAGTGCAGATTCTCCAGGTCGCTTAGGTGGTCAACAGGCGGTTTTCAGTGTCCATAGAAGGGGTAAAACATCTAGCAAAGCAAAGGAGGTGTTCCGGGGCATGCCTTGTATGTTGAAATGCGCTTTTACATTGAACAACATGCATGGCCAAACTGCAGTCTCTTCTCAAGGCTCTCAATGATATCAAAGCAGTCTTGTCAATAGTGTGGGTTCCGCATTACTGGGAGGTAGTAGTTGTTGTAGTCACAGGTAGCTCTGCCATCAAGAATGCCCCAGTGCGAGTCAGTCGTCAAAATTTATGATAGCCGTTGATGCTGCTGCTGCTGCTGTGTGTGTGTGTGTGTGTGTGTGTGTGTGTGTGTGTGTTGTGGTGCTTCGCCTCTTCAACTCCTTAGGGGTGTTCAAAGTCACAAATCCGAGAAGCATCTGTTTCTCGAAACTCTGTATATTGGATGTTTCGATCGTCATTCTCAATGCCTTTATTTGGCAGCAGCAGCAGCAGCAGCAGCAGTCTTGGGTAAAATTCTGCAGAAGATCGCATGCAGCTGTTTCAGGAAGCTATGGAAGCATGAAATGAGAAACGAGAAACGAAAATTGGGAGGAGATTGGATAACGGCAGTCGTATGACACGTGCGCGGGGCGGCAAACAGAACTTGTTGACATGGATGGAAACAATGACCCGTCCCATTCTTTCTGATTCTATTGCCCCATTTATCACGGCTTCTACGGAGGATTTTCAGTCGATCCCATCTCTCTGACACACAGCGGCTGCGACATTCCGCGGTTAACCTTGTTCTGTCTCCTGGTCCACTAACAGGACCCTCCTGCGCGTCGGTGACTAGGGTATATTCCTCTTGGATACTGTAAACCCGAGGCCCCGGATGTGTTGCAAATTGTGACTGCATGTGAGCGCTTTGAAGGACACTGACTGTTTATATGTTACTAAGACATCCGCATGGGATTGTAGAGAAATTGAATGGGCCAGTGGGATCCAGCAGGATGCCTGCCTGTGACCTCTGCGAATGGTCGGATAAAGAGAGATCCGCGCACGGATCCTAGAATCCCTGATGATATGGATAATATACATGGTTCAAAATCATCCGGAATCAACGGCACCACAGCAATCTACGGCTGGAAGAAATCAACGGCGGTGCTGGGGACGGTTCCTGGATTACTCGGAGACCCTTCCCTAGCTGGGTCTGGGTGCTTAATCTATCATCACTTTAACGCCGAAGACCCACCCCGAATCCTCTCAGTCTCAAGATGCTGTGAGAAGTCTGGCCATCCAAGGGTCTCCTGTTAAGGGCTTATGACAGTCTAGCCAGGTATAGGGTCTTTAATTCAGGGGAGTCGCGTATCCTATCGAATTAGCGTTGGAAGTTGAGATTAAAGCTGCAGTCAGTGTCAACAGACCCAGAGGCCCAAATTAGCCGAGCTCATGAATTATGTATGCATCAAGTTTTCTTCGAAGTGGTGGATGACTTTTTTGATCGGTCCTCACGGTATTTGGCTGGTCATGACTCGCGCCGTGACGTGTCGGGGTCTCAGATAAGTGATGGCTGCAATCGTGAAACACGCACCAGGGGCAACAGGAAACCCTTCATCAAACCACTAGTAGAGCAACTCCCCGTCTCGAGCTCGGCTCTAGAATGCTAACTGCCGACGGTGCCAATCATACCAGCGAGTCAGACCCCCTGGCTGGACGCTATGCGGGGCCGACCGAACGTTCTTATTAAAAGTGTCTCCACCCGAGTTGAAGATGGGTCGGTTCACGATGCATCCATGCTAAGCTCCGGAGGAGGTGGCTGAGCTTAGCTTATTCATTCTTGACTTCCAGCTAGACCAACGGTACTGTGGTTCTCGGCTCTATTGATCCGATGCTATCAATCTATCATATAAGAACGTTGGGTGTTCAACGTTGACCATGGTTGAAATCTGGAATTAAACGCCCTCATTGTCCTTCCTTTCACTTTGTTTTTTTTTCCCTAGTATCTTAACACTCTTTAGTCTTTCATTCTTTTCATCATGATGAAGCGCAGCGCGCTCCTTGCCTCTCTCCTTCCTCTCGCCCTGGGGTGCGACAACCCTGAGACTCACTCCTGTGCCTCTGCCTTCTCCGTCTCCTCTGCGGCGGCCGCTACCTTCTGTGCCACCTTCACGGCGAGCACCGTGACTGCCACGACTGGTGTGCCGGATGTCTTCCTCTCCAACTGCGACTACAAGACCAAGCATCTCTCCAGTGCCTGCAGCTGCCTGGGCACCTCTGACGGATCGGCTCCCGCTTCCACCCCGGCTGCCCCAGCAGTCTCCAGCAGCAGCAAAGTGGTGAGCACCAACCAGATGCCTCATTACGATTCTTTTACTGAACCAATGTAGGGCAAGGCACCTGCTGTTGCAGCCACCCGCACCTCGGCGATCCCTACTACTTTCCACACCACTCCAATTCGTGTGCCCGTGTCCACCTCCGCTGCGGCGGCTGTGACCACCCAGGCTGTCGTCCCGGTGCAGAGCTCCGTGGCAGGCAATGGCGGCACCACTTGCACGGTGACTGAGTACGCCTCAATCTCCTCCGCCGTCGCATCCTGCTCCAACATCCTCCTGTCCAACATCAATGCCCCTGCATCGAGCACCATTGATCTCTCGGGCCTGCAGACTGGCGCCGCCGTCATCTTCGCTGGTGAAACCGTAAGCCACCTCCCCTATATCAAGGCCAACCACCATACTAACAGAAAGACCAATAGACCTTCGGCGACACCTACGACAGCGACTTCGACCCCATTGTCATCTCCGGTACCGATGTGACCATCACCGGTGAGGAGGGACATGTCATCAACGGTAACGGTGAAGCCTACTGGGACGGCGAGGGATCCAACGGCGGACAGGACAAGTGAGCTCCTACCAGCATCCCCTTGTCATGAATGGCCTCACTAACCTTCCCTACCAGGCCGGACCACTTCATCGTCGTCAAGGACATGTACAACTCCAAGATCGAGAACCTCAACATCCTGAACTACCCCGTCCACTGCTTCGAGATTGAAGACACCGAGTACCTCACCATCACCGGCCTGATCCTCAACAACACCGCCGGTGATGCCGCCAACAGCAAGAGTGACGGCGACCCGGCCGCCCACAACACCGACGGCTTTGACATCAAGCAGAGCGACTTCCTGACCTTGTCCAACACCTGGGTGCACAACCAGGACGACTGTGTCGCCGTCACCAGCGGTAGCTCCATCGTCGTCGACAACCTCTACTGCTACGGTGGCCACGGTCTCTCCATCGGCTCCATCGGCGGCAAGAGCAACAACACCGTCAACGGCGTCACCTTCTCCAATTCCCAGGTTATTAACAGCGAGAACGGCTGCCGCATCAAGTCCAACGCTGATACCACTGGCGAGGTTAGTCACCTGCCCCAAACCATAATACACCCATCATCAAAACGTAAACACTAACCACCGAGAAATAATTATTCAGGTCTACAACGTCCGCTACGAGAACATCACCCTGTCCGGCATCACCGACTACGGCATCGACGTCCAGCAGGACTACGAGAACGGCGGTGCCACCGGTGACCCGACCAACGGCGTCAAGATCGAGAACATCTCTTTCGTCAATGTCAAGGGTACCATGAGCGACGGCAAGGATTACTACATCCTCTGCGGTGATGGCAGCTGCTCCAACTTTGTCTTCACTGATGTCGACATCACCGGTGGTAGCGATGATAGCTGCAACTACCCCTCTTCGGGATGTCCTTAGATTATGGATTGTGGTGTGATTGCAGTAAGTGAAAGGGGTGGGAGGAAGTACTGAACTGTACAGTATCTGTCTATCTATCTGTACCTCTATCTTGATTTCTAGTTGCTGTCCTGAGATGCTGTAGATCAGCGGATTGGGATAGTGGAAACCGGTTAGTGATTAGTTGGTTTCATTTAAATGGAGGGTTTATTTATCATTTTAACTACCCGTGTATTACTTCGTATGTGTCCTTCTTCCGTAGCTGCTAGTCGCATGTCGGTTTCCTAGCTAGTCCCTTGTAGATGTGACATACATGGACAGTGTCTACGACAGATCAGATACAGGAACAGTCCCTCCAAGGTCGGGCAATGCACATGCTACTCCAGTCGCAAGTGGTGCGTTTCACAAGGACCGAAAGCGAACCCGAACCACCGAGCACTGGCCTAAGATTGACCGACAGTTGCGGAGTACGAAAGGTGTCAGATGCCCGCATCCAGGTACATAGCTAGCACTACGGGAGGAACAGAACAAGTGGGGTAATAGTCATGTGGTAGATAATTGTTTTTTCTTCCAATTCATAGCGATTTCGTTTCATTTCACTCATACCCTCGTCAAGACAGGAGAGACGGATCAGATCCTCTTTCCCATATCAATAGCAAAAACAGCGAATAACTTGAAACATTCCCCAAAAGATCCAAAATGGGGTTTACGGTTTGGCTCTGCTGCACATGCGAAATGCTAAACTTCAGTAACGCTGTATAAATTCAGACCGTTAGCTCCATGGCGGTCGGTTGAGAGCAAAAAGAAAGATAAGAGTCTGGCTGTGTGGTGGTTAGTAGCAGTCAACAGGCCGGAGTATGGCGATCGTGTGCTGATTGACTGACAAACCTGAGCCAGGGCACCGGGCCCCCTGTTTTTCTCCAACAAATGCGAGATGCGAAACCAAAACGCCGTATCCCTACGCATGCTCATGTCGCTGGGTTGCTTTAGGCGGATCCTTCTAGCCAGACGGAGACGGTGGCGCTTGTCGTGTACACCATGAACACTACTCCCAGGACCATCATCGCAATATCGCCTCGTTTGACCCATGGGGACTCGGCTACGCCCTTCCAGTGCAAGTACGCCGGGTAGATATACACCAGGGGCACACAGGCAAACGACCCGATCAACGAGACAAATTTGTCGAGATCCCCGGCCCCCACGGCTCCAATCAGCCCGCAGATCATCACGGCACCGGTCCGGAACACATTCTTCTTCCACTTGATCATGGGGTCGCGCTTGCCTGAGTTCTGGCCGAAGAGCTTGCCCTCGATAATACGGACGGCGGGGAACAACTGGATCGGCGTACTGACCAGGATGGCGAGCGAATAGACGAACTGGAGCACATTGACAAAGCGGTCCGTGCGGGGCAGGTTGCTGATGATCTCCGTTTTCGTCTCCGCGCCGAAGGTGGCATATGAGAGGGCCCCAACCGCCGTGAACAATACAGTGATGATGATCATGACAGTATAGAGGAGTTTGTCGAAATGCTCTGGCCGCTTCATGGAAGACTGGATCGGCAGGATCAGGCCGATTCCTTCAAAGGTGAAGATACACGATCCGATGGTCAGGGTGAACGATTGGCGATTGAAGAGTTCAACCGACGACGCCAGACCACGGGACGCGAGACTGGCAATGTCATAGAAGTAGATGTACGCCAAGCCTACGAGGATGAAGACATCCGCCAGCAACGCGATGGGGCCCAGCTTGGAGATGTTTCGGATCAAGGACAGTGGGATGAGCACAAGCAGTTGTACGGCGATTAATTTACCGGTTGACAAAGCTGTGCCCGGGTCCTTTGTCACCGCTTCCAGGACGGCATGGATGTTCTCTGCGGTGAAGATGATACAAGCACACACGAAGCCCAGTTGCGAGATTACGATGGATGCGAGGATCAACGTCCGAAGTCGGGTGCCACCGATCCGCTCACCAATGTCGCCATAGCCACCACCATAGTGTCTCCGACATTCCAGCAACAGATGGAAACACAAGGTACTGATCAACGACACTGTTACAAGGGTGATGGAGGAAAACAGGATTCCGCCGTTGCGGAAGGCCTTGGGTAGGAAGATGATTCCCGTTCCCACGAATGCCTTCAAGAGTGTGAAAAAGGTCTTGACGTTGGAAGCATCGCCTGGGCGGCTGGCTCGTGAGCTCCGCCGTCGCCGCAAGAGGGCCGTTCGTTCAGACACCGGCCTCGTCTCATCCTCTTCTTCTTCCTCTTCGACGATGGCAGATTCCTCCTCCGTGTCGGCCAGATCCTCGCCCGCAAAGTTGCCATAAATATCTAGGAAATCGAGAAAGGACGAGGTTACGCCCGGTTGGTCGAGCCGACCGTACTTGTTCTGAACGAAGTGACGGCGGAAGCTCCCCGGCTCCATGGCTGCCACGCCTTCCTCCACCACATCATCTGTGCGTCTCGGAAGGAAGGAGAACGTGGCCGCCCGTTTGTCTAGGCGAGCAATTTTTGATTTAGCGTCAAGGCGGTACAAGTCTCGGTGGATGTCGCCGCCTTGCAGTCTCAGTGAGGACTGGGGTTCGGACGGAGCATCACCGCTACTTTGCTCGGCTGGGGGCTCGGCCGGGGGTGCAGTCAGCTCATCCTGGAGGGAGGCAGTGAACTGAGGGTGCAGATGCTGGGACAGGACGTTGTTTGCTTCTCTAGAGTCGGGGTCGGGATCCCGACCGGAGGAAGTGGAGAGATCTGCCATTGAGAATGGGGGCGTCGGGGAGGGAGGGCGGAGGCGAGTTTCTGGTTTGGAGGGTATGGGGTCAGTTGAAACAGGGACTGGAGAGTGTTGTTAGCATTGTCCGGCCGTGCAGGCCGTCCAGGTATTGCCAAATGAACAAAGGAAAGTTTGAAGTGTAAACCAGGAGGAGGGGGGCGAGGAAAGGAGGACACGAAAGAGGAAGCCGATGCTTTAAGAAGTAAAGTACTTTGGGGAGGACCAGCGGATGCAGTCAGTCAGTGATGTCGATTCCCTTCTTTTTACTGGGTCCGTCGATCGGTCACTCTTCGTTCATCGCTCGGCCGTGCCCTTTTACTGACTTTTGATTGGCTGTTGGCTGAATCAGCACCCGGACCACACAACGGGCATCACATGACTGTCCAGATGAAAACAAAGAAGGTCAAAGAAGTGAACTTCAATCTACTGCACCATATACACCAGTCTATAGAGTTGCGTGGAATACAGCTCCCTCCTCTGAAGATCATCAAATTCGGTCTCCTAATAGCGAAGTGGTACAGATACAGGCACAGGCACTCTTGGGACAATCTTCGCTCATCTTGGTAGTACTTTCTATCTACTTCTGTCTACTGTCTCCTCCGCCTAGTCTATACTAAACTGGAACTGTTATACCTCCATTCCCTCCACCCCCCCCCCCACCACGGTCTTTTACTAACTGACGTGTCTCACATTTTGGACCTTGGCCTCTCACTAGCCTCCCAACGTGCTAACCGCTCGTGACTGCGAGCAAATGTCTTCGTCACCACAGCAGAAGCCGTACTGATCTCCAGCGCCAGAGCAAACGCAGCAATGTACCCAGCCAGGCGTCGCTTACCGCCGGGTTCATTGCACTGCATGATCCGCAAGCCTTCCTGCTGTGTCGCGTATGGCGTGCCTCCGCCGATTACCCCTACAGGCATGGAGGGGAAATACAGGCTTAACGTTATTGTCTTGGACGCCTGATCGTATTCCGGCGTCAGATGTGCCCACGAAGCATCCGCGACGCACGCCGGATCTTGACCCGTGGCAATGAAAATGGCTGCCAATATATTGGCCGAGTCGATATTGCTGCCATGCTCACCATTCCGAATCCCCGCTTCTTGGGTCGTCTGAATGAAATTATACAACTGTGCGGATGAGCAGCCTAAGACTCGCTCACATGCTGAGTCGGATAGAGCTGTCCAGGCCACGGTCTCGACACCCCGGACAACGGCCACATTCCTCCAAGATGGCTTCTTGTCCGAGGATAGCATGCCTTCTACAAGTGTGTCCACAACCTTATATTCCTTTTCTAGGTTCTTCGACACCCAGTCACAGATCCGATCTGTAGCTATAGTCACCATGTTCTGGCCTGACGCGTCTCCGCAAGCGTAGCTCAGAAGCAGATGGACAGAGCGGCCGATCGTATGCGGTTTTAGGCTCTGTAAGCGAGCATGCTTGCTGGTACTCTCCGCCACTTCCTTGAACGATGCCTGGATGGTAGGCAGCGCGCGCGCAAATCGCAACGCATCTCCGGGATTTTGGAAGCGAAAGACCGGGCAGCGCGTCATGCCCTCCTCCCCCATGTGGACTTCAATACCACCAGAGGCATTGGCAACCTTGCATCCGCGACAGCAGCTGGCGACTACCGCCGCCTCAGTGGTGGCCATGGGCGCCCAGATCTCCTTGTCGGGCCCTGTGGGCGTCCGAATGTGTAGCGGTCCAGCTAATCCAACCGGAACGTGCGTATAGCCGATGAAGTTCTCTATCTTCACCTTGTAGGGGTCTTGATTGTGCCGAGTGATGTGTTCGACCCCGGTGAGGATCTGGCTGATTTGAGCCTTGGTTTTTTCTGAGGGAGGGGCCATGATTCGAGAACTGTATCTTCACGAGCAAAGTGTATTCGGTGTAGATCCAGATGTCGACCGACAGACATCACGCGCGACAAGGTAATCACTACTATATGTATAGATAGAACCATTTGCCTCCATCAAGGTTAACCTTTGCGTAAATCTTGGTTAACCCGGTGCTTAGCATCTGCTTACAGGCATGGGTACCATACTTCCAGGGGCATAGTTGTTTAGTCTTCTCCCAGTCTTGTTTCCGGGCATTCCTCAAAATGACTTACATCACCACTGTAATCCAGAGATATGTCATCTGCACTCATAGATAGAATCATCAACAATCCAAACAGACTACATCTCCATCGCTTAATCCAAGGCCAGAACTCCATCAGATCTGATTATAAACATGGAAATAAGCTTAATCGAAGGAATGAAGTATTCCGTATAATAACACACGATATTCAATGAGATATAATATAGAACAAGGCACATTCGTAATTGATTGCATTCAAAGCATTCAGAGTACGTTCACACCACGGAGACCAAAACTTAGGTAGGCAGAGATAGTACCAAAAGTCCGAATATCCAAACACAACAACCCACCCGCCAGCTGACAACCAAAAGGAATACTTAGTACAGCAATTAGTAGTAAGTTGCATCAGCTCACCAAGGCACCTCTCAAAGCACAGAGCATCCAAATTGAAGGCAACCACTTACTGCATCTCCAGATTGTGGGTCCTGTAAGTTGCCCGACGGACCCATCTGTCACCAAGTGGAGCTGACCACAAAAGTAAGTAGCACTTTTAGTAGATTGTCCCAATGAATCGATTTGGAAGGAAAAGGAAAGCAACCATCATACTTTCAGTTTCTCCGAGCCCTAAGAGAAAAAGAAAAAGGAAGGGGCCAGACAATGAATTATGATTAGGTAATTTCATCCGAGATCGCTCACGTTCGGAAAAGTACGTATTGCCACGAAAAAGAAAAAGAAAATAAAAAGCAATATTCTGAACGAACTGGTGGCGAAGTCTTTGTACTTCGAAAACGCCACCGATAGAGATAATGGAGGGGGAGAACAAAAGCCTTATTGCTGATGTGCAGGAGCAGCACAATACCTCTCGCAGCGACTAATCCTGCACATCACCGGAGTACTCCGTGCCAAGCATTCACCGTAGCCGTGTCAAACCCATCAGAAACTAAGCACAAACTTGATTGATGGTGGTAGTTGCGCCCGAGCGGTGCCCCCCCGCTGTAACTATCTACTTCAAATGTGCATTACGCAGTAGACTAGATCTGCGATAGTCTGGCAATTGCAGTCCGCAGCCCCTTTCCTTATGGATATCCGTATCCCTCGAGCTCAGGCCCTATTACCTCACGGTATGCCCAAGAATAGCCTAGCCCAGCTCTGCTAGCTACTTACTAGTAAGCCGTGTAAGCCCGAATAATCAATTTTTGCATAGTGGCCATCTCGTTATTCTATTATGCGCTATCATGAGTGTCTCTACTGCATGTAATTCCATTGTCTCGATAGACGGATGGCCTTGCTATACACTATGGATCCACTTGATTTCTATCAAGGAATAGGAAGTGGAGTGACAAATCATCATCCCTGCCAGGTACATCATGTGCCACAGAATATCAGTCATCCTTGTTTTGATTCTTTGTCTGCTGTGGTGCGCATATGATAGATAGACCACCACTGCGGCCGGGGGTTTAGGTTTAACTTTCTCAGTAGTTGCTACTAAACTATTTTTTGCTTTGACGATCAAGGGGTTTTATTTGAGTTAGTTAGTCTACCCGCTTGGTTTATTGCAAGATTTGGCGGTAAATTCGTTGAGATTTGTTGCCGAGGTCATTCTAGTTGGTATTCAACTAGATATTCTGAAGGGCCGTTAAGAATAAAGGGGGGTGATTGGGGATCGATAAAGCTCCCCTGTAAGAGAAATAAGGGGGAGGTATGTAAGTGGGTAATAAAATAGGAAATCAAGTGAACGAAGGAAGAAGAAAAGGGTATATGAAGTTGAATAACGAGAAATAAATAACAAAACGTAGAAGAAAGTAAGGGTATAGTTATCCACTCAAGAACTATGCGTCCCCAAAGACCGAGGAATGTCAAACGACTGCATCGGGCGAGTATAGTACTCCGTACTGACTTCGACATTCGTCTCGATTTCCGTATGAGCATAGATCTTCCCGTCCGGTATGATAATCCGTTCCTGACTGTTGTTCCTCCCAATCTGTGTGCCTGTCATAGCGTCTCCATCTTGGGTCTGTAGGATACTCATATCGAATGGATGCTCGCGACCCTTGGAGAAGCCCGATTCCTCTTTTCTCATGTTGCTGCTCGACCATCCGCCGTAGCCGCGGTTCGAGCTGTACTCGCCGATCAAGCGGGGGAGGAAGCGAGACGCAATGGCTTTGAAGGACGGGATGGAGGAGGCCAAGATGCCGACGTTAATCTCGATGGCGGACCAGTACATGGCGCCGCTGATGGCGTAGGTGGAGTCGCTGGAGGTGAGCATCGCGGGGATGTAGGTGATTCGGATGATGGAGGAGATGCAAGCGCTGGATATTGCGAGTAAGCAAAGAAACACATGCTTCACCTCAAAAGTAGCAGACATTATACTACTTACAATAGACCGAGACAGAGGATACCACCGAGGGCCAACTTCTGTTTCTTTGGCATGTGTAGCTTCAAGATGACCCGGATCGGCAGCGAGTAGGTGAGCAGATCGGTCGTAATGTTCAGCGCTGCGTTGGCGAGGTAGAAGACGTTGATTGTTACGCAGCGGCCAGGAATGCTAGTGTTCCAGGCGCGGGCAATGGGATTGCATTGAAACGCAGCTGTCAGAACGAATGAAGTGGCTTGGCAACCCACAACACACATCATGACGAGAGACATGCGCGTGAGTTGCTTGTCACCAAGTCGGGTGTAGAACCAGCAGACGGAGGTTTTGACAAAGCCAAGGGCGGCCAGGTAGAACATCGAACTCAACCAGACGGCCTGGTCATGCCGTCAGCAACGATATCATAAGTGGAAGTTGAAGTGACGTACAAAAGAGTATGTGATAAGACCACTTTGATCCACATCCACCATGTGCTGGCCCATACCATGCTTGACAGCTATACAGTGTCAGTCTCCGTCCTCACATGCGGATATGAGGAATAATCTTACCGACAATGGTAACCGCTGTGAATGCCCATGATAGAAGCTGAGTGAGAGGTCAGCTCAATCGCATCGAACCGGAAACGATCCCCTTACGCAGGCGCCGATAATCAAATCTAGGAGAAATAGTAGGTCAGTCACAAGTCGGACTGCAGCCAAGGAGGGCCGGAACAATATTGACTTACAATCATCCAAGCCCATTCGCTTCAAGACATAGATTCGAGCAAAGAGTCGTAGACAGATGGTCACGAAACTGAGGATTGCGAAACTGATCGCAACACCAGCAATAACTGGACCCTGTGTAGCTGCCATAATGACAGTCCGGACGGACAGAAGAGGACGGGGCGCACAATGCGAGGTAGTAAATGGGGAAAGTCAAAGAACTATTTATCGAGTGCAACACATCAGATGCAGTCGCCATGCAACACACACACCATACACAGAGAAGACAGTCATTTCTAGAAGGGGAACTTCCGAGGGGTTAAAGATTGAGTTGCGATTTAACGGGAGGCAATCTCGCGCATGTGCGCCATCGTGATCATCGCTGCATCGAATGCCCCTGGCAGGGCCTCGGGACTCATTCTTGGACGATCCCAAGCGGTCCGGGTCAAGCTCGCATGTTGGAGAAACTGGAGTCTGATGGACAATGGCGTTTCCCAAAAAGGGAAACCCGTGAGGGAAAATTTCAGACGGTACCAAGAGTTGGCTAGCGACTCTGGAAGAACGGAAGGAAAAAGCAATGTCTCGCGCGAGTAGCGACCAAGAATCGGGGACTCCAGTGACGGTTCGTAGCCCACATCTTGGGCCATGGAGTAGTAGTCCGGATGCACTGGCCGACTCCGCTTGTCGAATCTGATACAGAAAATGTGTTGTTGAACCTATCGCTCCACGGCTAATCGGGGGTGCCACTAGGGTGTTAGTCGCTGTCTACTGAGTGGTCATCGGCGACAAGAATAGCAGTTGGGGCACGATCGTCACTGAAGATGGGTCATATTTCCGGGGGAGATTCCGATGCTCGCAAGAAGTGGATCAAATTTTTGGTTAATTATCTGTACTTTTGTTGCCGAGATTGCCACCACGTTCTCATAATAATAGTCGGTGTTAACATGAACAGTGATTGCGACAACCTCATTCCAAGATGTACGATGGCAGCCAGTTAAGTCAGGCCGCCACCAGCACCGATGTGACAGGATAATGTCTGTCTGCAAGACACGGGAGGACTGGATGGAATGGAAGGAAGTAGATTCCGGCACTATTCGCACCGTAAACGACCGGTGTCTGAAAGGCAGGAGAATCGCAGCCGGCTTTGCTCCAACCGGATTAGGGCCTTGACTGATAGTCGCCCTGAGCGCAAATGCTGACCCACTCCACTGGGGATGGACCCGTCCAGACAATCCTGGACGGCGAGTCCACTGCTCAAAAAGGTGGTCTACACCGGGTAAAGGGCGTCGTGCCTCCAAATGTCTGCGAAGACGATGTGCGCAGGATCAAATCCTGGTGGCTTGGGAGACCTTCTGGGGAGTGTAGGGCATTTCTTTATTGGGCGCCCTGGCACGCGGAAGCCTGTACTACTGAATATTTACTGTAGCTCGGTCAATAGATCCAAAAGATAGAAATCACCCCTTAAAACTTATTTGGTTCTTCAAGGCAGCCAAGTTATGTACAAGTTAACCAGGTGTGGGTTTGGTGAAAGGAGTTCTTTTCTCAGCTGGTTCATTGACTCATGCTGGTGTTCGAAGAGCGAATGAAATTGACGGGGAATGGTTTTAGTGAGTAGCTTCGGGTACGGACCTCGGGCTATCGGCCGTGCTCCCGATCCAGCTGTCGCAATCACCAATTTCTGTCGATTCAACGGTGACAA